CCCCAAAACCCCAAAACCCCAAAACCCCAAAACCCCATAGAGGGCCAGAAGGTTGAAAAAGGAATTTGCGGGACTTTCTATAAAGAATTAAATAATTTAAATAAATTTGTGGGCATGGAAAAAGATATCATGGTCGAAGTCGAAGGAAGAATGATGCAGTTCCTCCTCCAATCTGACATCAAAGAGAACATTGAAAGAGCAGTCAAGGACAACACTAGATGTAATATTGACCTAGATCAGCTTAGGAAGTTTGACCAGTTCCTTTCAGATGCTGTGGTTAAGTATCCAGAGAGATGTATCGTCCTCCTGGAAAAGAAGCTCAATGAGATGATGGATGAGTACAAGGATGATGTGAGCAATGAGAAGTTAAGAGCTCAAACTGGAAGCGAATCCTTCCCTACTAGATCTCAGACCTCTAATGTCAACTTCACAGGAAACTTTGGAAGGCATTACATTACTCCAAGAGGACTGAAAGCCAATATGCTGAACAAGTTAGTGAGAGTACAAGGTATTGTCACAAGAATGAGTACTGTCTCTCCAAAGCTGGCTAAGTCTTACCACTACTGTGAAACTACCAAAAATGGTATGGTAAGGACTTACAATGACAAATTTGCTATTAATCCTGAAGGAAATGTTGACAACTCTGCAAGCATGCCTATTAAAGATGGTGCTGGTAACGCATTGAGTCACGAATTCGGATACTGTGAATACAAAAAGCTACAAAAGCTGGTTATCCAAGAACTCCCAGAAAGAGCCCCTCCAGGCCAGCTCCCAAGATCAATCACTGTTATTCTAGAGAATGATCTTGTTGACCAGGTTAAGCCAGGCGACAGAGTTGAAGTAACAGGAGTCTACAAGACCGTCCCAGGTCAAAGATCGACTACTTCAGGAGTCTTTGATACTATTATCTATGGGACTGGCATTCAAGAGAGCATTGCCAAGAAAGAGACTAAGCTTGATGGAAAGGACATCTCTAACATTAAGAAGGTGGCAAAGAGAGGTGATGTATTTGATATCCTCGCTAACAGTGTTGCTCCATCTATTTATGGTCACCATAGCATCAAGAAGGGTATCCTTCTCCAGCTTCTTGGAGGTACTGAGAGAAAAGTTGAAGGCTCAGGAACCCATATTAGAGGAGATGTCAACATGCTTCTTGTCGGAGATCCATCTACCGCCAAATCTCAACTCTTGAGGCAAGTTATGGAGATTGCTCCTCTCGCAATTAATACTACTGGAAGAGGATCATCAGGAGTTGGTCTCACAGCTGCTGTGATTGTTGATAAAGACTCTGGTGAAAGGCATCTCGAGGCCGGAGCAATGGTTCTAGCTGATAAAGGAATTGTCTGCATTGATGAATTCGATAAAATGAATTCTGCTGACAGAGTAGCAATTCATGAAGTTATGGAACAGCAAACTGTCACTATCTCTAAAGCAGGTATTCATGCCAGCTTAAACGCAAGATGCAGTGTCATTGCAGCAGCTAACCCGATCTATGGAGATTATGATGTCTCAATCCCAGCTGGAAAGAACATTGGGCTCCCAGATTCCTTGCTTTCAAGATTTGATCTTCTATTTGTAGTGCTCGATGATAAGGATCCTGTAGTCAATGGAAAAATTGCTGAAAGAGTAATCCTTAATCACAGATTCAGGAGTGCTGGTGAAGACAAGCTTGCAAACCCAGATCACAACGATATTTATGTAGAGCCAGAGATCGCAGAAACTGCTGAAGAGAAGAACAAAGTCTACGAAAATGATTTCAATGCCACTTTAATGGGTGATGAAGACAAACCAGCAAATGATGTCTTAAATAGAAGCTTCTTAAAGAAATATTTGAGCTACGCCAAAACTGCTGTTACTCCAGTCATGAACAGTGATGCTGTAGACTTCTTATCCACTTCTTATTCCCTCTTGAGACTTAAAGGAGAAGAGCCAGATCAGACAAAAGAGAGAAAACTTCCAATTACTGCAAGAACTTTAGAAACGTTGATCAGATTGGCGACTGCCCATGCTAAGCTGAGACTCTCCAAAGTAGTTGAAGTTGAAGACATGCAAGAAGCTTTGCATCTGTTGAATTTCTCCATCTTTACTCATGATGATAATGATGTTAAGAAGGAATCAGCTCCAATTGAAGAGGATAAGGAAGAGACTAAAGAATACGGTCTAAGATCCTCTAAAAGGAACAAGAGCAGAGATCATCCTAACGGTGAGAATGTAGATCTTGATGCTGCAAGGAAAAGAAAGAGAGATGTTAAAGATGGCCCTCACAAGGAAAATCACAAACCAAACACCAGGCTCCAATCGATGAGCTCAAAGGATCAGGTTGATTTAGTTCTAAATATAGCCTTGGATGCTGATACTCCTGCTAAGGCTGAAGAAAGGAAGAGAGCAGTCTTCAGGGTGCTGACTGCACTCAAAAGAAAGCATATAAAGGCTGATTCCTTCACAATGGAAGAAATAATGGCGGAAATTCAGAAAGGAAGAGCCTCCAGAACTGTCTCAAAGGAGCAGCTACCAGAAGTAATTTCTACACTTGCAGATGAGAGCAAGGTAATGCTGATTGAAGGCGGCTGTATTCTTCTCTAATTCTTCAAATTCCATAAATAGCTAAATTCCTTCAAAAACTGTGTCTTAAACTGTCACTCTAATAATTAGATGCTTCTTTGTTCAACTGGTGGATTGCCTCTGGGGTTTTGGGGTTTTGGGGTTTTGGGGTTTTGGGGTTTTGGGG